AACACTTACTGGAAACACTGGATTTAAGAGACTGTTCAGTTGACTGGCTAAGGTTCAGGAATATAATCCAGTCAGGTCAAAGGTCCACCCAAGCTAATGGCCCACTGGGGCTAGTGTGGTTAAGGTATGCCAGTTTGTCACCAAGGCTAGGGAAAGAAGTTACACATAAGCCAGTTTAAGTTATCCAAAACTTGTCTAAACCTGTAACAGAACATAAGTTCAGTGTACATAAACCAGTTTCAAAATGGCTGAAACTGGTTTAAGATAAATCTGGTTGAATGTAGTATCAGGCTTAACTGAATTGGGTCAAACCATTATATGGAACTTCTGTCCCAGATCCCTTCCTGATTTAAGTTAAATCAGATAAGTTCCCTAGTATCCCAGCATGTTTTTCAGCTCTGGGCTGGGCTGCGCTCTCTGCTTCAGAGAGCAGGGCTGGCCCTGCCCCTCTCCTCCCTAGCCAGAGCTCCAGCTGGCTGAGGAGGTGGGGGACTGGAGCATCTGCCAGTCTTCCTCCTACTTCACCCCCTGTTCCCATCCCCACCTCACTGCTCGCTGCCCTAGAAGGGATCCTCCCGTCTGCCCCTCTCCTACGGCAGGGACCCCAGTGGCACAGACGCCAGCTGGCATCTGGCTATGCTCCCTGCCACCATGGCAGCTAATGCTGAGATGTGTCTGTATGTGTGTCTCCAATTTCACTGGAACAAAGGCAGACAGAACAGTGTCCACTTAGGGCTAGAGGGCAGTGGCTTGCAAATGCATCCTACAGATAAGCAGCTCTTGAAACTAATGAGAGAGAGGCATTTGTTTTCGTTTGTAGGGCTTGACAAGCTGATAAGTTTTGTGTTCTGATAAGCTCCCTACTGACTGCTGGCTTGCTTCAAAGGCCACAATCTGGGGGACAGAGAGGTGTGAAAAATGATCTGGTTTGCAGTGACTATGACCTGTGAGTGTTGTCAGTTTGCTGCAGACAGTATGAAGAAGCAGGGAGAGGAAGATTGAAAAGCTTAGTATCATCAACAGATGCGTGCAGTCCACACAAGCAGTCCTCCCTCACCACCCCATCCCTTGCCTTAGAATGTTAGCCGGGGGCCAGAGTCCGGCAACACTCCCTGCCCCTTGAGCGGCAAGCAGGAGAGAATCCTGGTGAGGGCTGCTTCCCCCTCCCCCTCCAAGCACACTCCAGTGGGGAACTGTGCAGGGCAGCATGGGAGTTTAAACCCCTTCCTAATCATAACGTCCTGCCAGGGCCTGGCCACACCCCCCCCAGCTCAGCACTATGGAATGGAAAGGGGGGCTGCTCTGACACCCCCCAACTTCTAGCTTGAGCCGCTCTAGGCATATACCTACGTTCCCTGATTCAAAAGTGAATGTCTACCGGCTTGCAAATCAGTTCAATCTCTGCAGATTAAACTAACCTGCAAAGATTAAATCAATTCAGGCTCAGGGTTTTTGAATGTCTGTTCCTAGACCAAGGGAGTGATGTGCCTCACCTCATATCTAGCCATCTTTTACTTCCTAGCCTAAATAAACAATATCCATTTATAGTTAGGTCAGTTAGAGGCAATATGTGACATGAGCCCATGGAAAGGCTTGAATTCAGGGTTCCAGTGCTGTAGCAAGATGCCTTTACCCCTCTCCCATCACGCCCTGCTCAGGAATGTCATAGTTTCCATAATTTTGCAGCAGTTATGTTGCAATAGTTATATCCAGGCTATGGGAGTCAGAAACAACATTAGTTTTGAATTGTGCTTTCTGTTGTGCTGTTTTGACCATAAGCCCTGGATGAGCTGCTGTACAATAAGTCAGTTTGTGGCTCTGTGAAGGACCAGATGCAAAGCAGGCAGTTTGCTGAGACTATTTGTAATTTTAAAAGAGATTAATATTGTCTTGCCTGTGGTGTCTTCTGTTATCTATGCAGAAAACCTGCAGAAATCATCAGTACAAAATAATATGATACAACAGCTGAAATACAAATTAGATGGTGTCAAGGCAGTGGAGCAGCCAAATTGTTTCAGCTATGGTTAAACACTACCAGGTTGTACATATTATCAACAGATGTTATAACAAATAGGGAAAATGGGAATATCATAGTAAGGGTGAGGGAAATGGAGGCTCTTCAGCAGGGGTGAGCAAAATGTGGCCCATGGGCCAGGTGTGGCCTGCCAGGCCATCCTGTGGGGCCCCTAAAAAGTTTAGAAAATTAATATTTATCTGCCCCTGGCTGACTGTCAGGTGGCCCTCGATGGCTCAGTAGGCGGCCCTCCACCCAAAATAATTGCCCGCCCCTGCTCTTCAGCATGCCCATATGCATCAGGAAAGAAGCAATTTGAATGTTCTTTGAATCAGATAAAACGGTAGTGGGAGATGCCTTTGTTGATTTTCACTGGAAGTTAACAGCATTCTCTAGAAGTGAAAACAGGTATTTGAGCTACATGCCCCTCATTAGAAGGTATAATGAGAAACCATAGTCAGGGACACAAACACTGATCCTTCAAGGTACAGACAGATATAACAATTGTATCAATATAAAGGGATATATGTAAGTTATGCAACTGCTATGATTGCATGATTGTGTAGCGATACAAATGTAACAAAACTGCTCCAACTTTAACCCCACTTCATTCAGTGTCAGAGTTAAGGCAATTTAAACTTTCAATCCTTGAAGGTTAATGCAGATGAAATGGTAACAGCGTAACAGCTCATCAGTTCCTTCTCCCCTTTCAAGTGGCCAAATTATAATTTGTTCATATTGTTCATACCCTTAGTTATTTGTTCGTACAAAGTTGTTTGTTCATACCCTTAGACAAGCACAACACTGCTGAAAATGTAATGGGAGTTAAGGATTACTTTGGGTAGATTTTTTACCTTTTTATTGGACCACCTGTATAGTTGGGATAGAGTTAGGCAAGCTTTTGGATGCAAGACTTTCCAGGTCTGAGGAGTAAAAGCCAGAATAGCATAGTAAAAAAAACACTTGGAAGAGGGGGGAGAAAAGTTCCCAGAAGCAGCAGACAAACAATTAGCAGAAGAAAAGAAGCTGATTACTGGGAGATCAAGGCTTATCAAAAGCAGAGAGGGTCACTGTCACCTTTTATTTGTGGGGATATTCAGGAATCAGATAGTAGGTTATAATATGCCATAAAACTAATATCAGGGTTAAGTCTTTGAAGAAGTGCAAGAGACATAAGGGTGATTATGATTGGAATTCTGCATCTCCAGGTATGACTAGAAAGATAGACATCTGTCTTAGCTGTCTTATCTATTATATTTCTATAGACCCTACTAATGTAGAAAGTGAGGGTAGAAACAAATGATGGGATTTCTCTCAGGACAGCTTTTTGTCCTGGAATCATACAGAAGTACAAGCCCATTATCTCACTTTAGGTACCTGTGAAGTTTCCAAGATAATATTTTTTTTGCCCAGGACAATTAAAGCTAATTCAAGTTAATTTCCTTTCATCCCAGTGACAAGCTGAATGTGTAAAGGGCTGTGCTGCTCTGGGTTTTGACTGGGATCAATCAGAATCACCTCATATGCCACATTTGTTGTTATCCTGAGTGCCTCTTTCAACACCCAGGTCTATCCTATCACAAGTCAACATTCCCTGCTCCCCCCACCCACACTTACCTGTCTCGCACCCGTTTTCTCCGATCCCCTCTGATCTTCCCTGCCACACATTTGCATTTTCACAGGCCTGCATTTTGCATATTGGCTTATGTTTCTATGCCACCCAGGAGAGCACAGAAACACCACCAGACTCTCCCTATGCCTGAAGAAGGGTGTTTGTGCCCCAAAGCTTGCAAAGAACAATTTTTCCAAGTATTTACTTGGTTTAATAAAAGATATCACAGTTACTCCCCCCCCCATTTCACAGAGAGATTCAGAGCTGGATCTTGGCTCCTGGAATGGATTCCAGAATCCTGTGTTAGGCACCTAGATTCCATATACAGAGCATGGGTGAGGTAGGCCCATTGAAAACAGTCTGTAAACTGAGCAGGAAACCACATAAAGTCTGTGTGGTGAGCCTGCCTGTAGCAAGCACACAAGACAACACAGAAGACAGTGGTGTGTGTTAAGTTCCATCCATTTCTAGGGCTTTGGTCATGTGGAGTCCATGGCCTAGAAGTCTGTGCCAAAGGTAGGCATCTACCCTGTCTCTTTCAAAAATACAGCTAGGTCACTACTTTTCTTTTAAAATACAGGCAGAGAAGAGGTGGTTCCCCCATTTCATGTAATGGCTGAATGGTTAGCTTACTCATTCTGGCTGTGGAAGACACAGAGGTGCTTAACTGTGTTAGTCTGAAGTCAGCCTAACTAATTAATTGAGTGTGCTAGGGTGTGCTAATTAGTGTCCCTGTGCTTCAAAATGGCAGCAGGGGCACTTTACCTAAAGCTCATTCGATGAACTTCAGTTAAAGCAGAGGCTGGCTGGAGCACACTAATTAGCAGTCCTAGCAGACTTGATTCATCAGGTCTGCTCCAACATGTTCTAATTACAGAGCATTGGAGAAGTATCCCCTCATGTCTGTGGGCACCCTTAGAAACTAACTGGGTCAGAGAGGCATGAGGTCCTAGGCAACAACCTACTTTGTCCACATTTCCCTCCATGTTTCCCTGCAAGCTCTTGTAAAAAAAATATGTCCACTAATATTCAGTGTTTATAAGTTACTGACTTCCATTTTCTACAGCTATTCCATTAAGTAGATTTGCGTTGAACTTGTTCCTCTCAAATATATCTTGCTTTCTTAACGTTTTCTTAGGTTAGTTCTTACCTAATTTCTCATTTTCCTTTCTTTTGCCATAATCATATACAGATAATCACACTGAGCAATGCAAATACTTTCTCAACTACTTTTCTTTGACTTTGTTTCTACTGTTCTTATTATTTATATTTTCAGTTATAACAATAAGAAATTAATAAGCCTGTGTGCATTTCTTACCACCTATAGCCTCAACATATTTTCACTTGTTTGCTTTTAATTTCTTGTTTTCCTAGATGAGGTAGTTGTACAGAAACCAGAACTCACCAGTCCATCCATCTGCCATGCTCCAGGAGGAGAATATTTTGTGGAGGGAGAAACATGGAATATTGATTCCTGTACCCAATGTACTTGCCATAGTGGACGTGTCCTATGTGAGACTGAAGTCTGTCCACCTCTTCTTTGTCAAAATCCCACCCGTACACAGGACTCCTGTTGTCCTCAGTGTCCAGGTAAATATTTCTTACTAACATAGATCTATCAGCATAGACCTTTCTGGGACTTTTGCAAAAGTATGTCATAGTAGAAAAAATGTTTAGTCATGAAGATACTAAAATGCTAGTCCTGTGATTTCACAAGAGCAGTCCTGTAACCATCACTTGTTATAGTCTCTTGACAGTGATGTTCAAAAGCTGCTATAGCAATATCTCTTAAAGCATTAGTAAACAGGTGCTCTAAGGAGTGCTCTTGAAAGCACTTTGGAGATCTGCAAGCAGAATAAAGTGAGAGACCTCCATATGAGTGTCTCAAGTGACACAGTGAATGCTACTTTAGTTAAAACTCTTATAATCAGCAGTTAAGTGATTTTTATGCTTACAATATGAGTCCTGAATAAGTATCAGAGGATCGGGAGTAAAAAGAAAATCTAAACTTGGGTCAGTCTTAAGAAAGTTGGGTGCAGGTGATGAAACAATCTTGATGAATACAACTGACAAATTTTAACTTTAGTCCCTATTAAAACAAATTGAAGGAATTCAGAGACAAACAAAGAGACTGATTATCGGACTGGAGATATTGATTTATACAGAAAGAATTAAAAGCTAATAAACAGAACTTTGCCAAACTGACTAAGGGAGTCTGTGATAGCTGTCTAAAAGTATAGGAAGCCTCTAGGTGCCACGGAGGAAGAGAATATGTTTATCATAATCTAAGGGATATGTAAGTATCCCAAAAGTAATGGGATAGAACTGAGTAAAGAAAAAGTAGGTTGATAGGAATTTTTTCCTACTAACAATAGGCTGGAGTAGTCACTTGTGGGAGGCCTATTCCTTGAGTCATTTATAAACAGATAGCACCAAGTGCTCACAAATATGCTGTGGAATACAGTTGTTCTTTGGCAGGGGATAATCTCATAGATCTCTTTAATCAATAAGTTGTGAAAAGAAAGAAGTATATGTAAGTAGCTAGAGGCTAATTGAAACTAATAAGTCAAATGAGTATATGAATAAATCATTCCAAGTAAATGTGATCCAGTTTTTTTATATACTTCCTATATTAGTCAATAAATGTAATATCTTGGATTCTAGTAAAGTACTTTATCTAATACCTTAAGAAACCAAATTGATGTCAGTATGAGCACTGTTATGCGTTGAAAATGATATTGGAATAGCTGATGAAATACAACATAATGATAAACAGCAATATATTAAACTACTGGAAAGTTCCTGTTGGAGTATCAGAAAGTAAACCAAGTTAGGACTAGTGTTAAGGCTAATTTTAATTAACAGATTATAAATGAGATGGAATAAAATAAGTTATATAATACCCAAAACTAGATTGTACATGGGTGTTTAAGAGATAGAAAGAGATCACAAGCACACTCCCATGTCCAGTCTTTATGTCATTACCATTACATAGTGGTAGTGATGTCTCCTTTCCTTAAAGTGAAGACATCCATCCTCTGTTTCAGTGAGAAAAGGTGGCCAGGCACAGTGGAAGTCCATACAATACTGCACCTGTAGTATTATTATTATTATTATTATTATTACTATTACTACTACTACTACTACTACTACAGGTGATACACTGAGGTGCCAGCTCTATCAGCCAAAATGAGTTGGCAAAAATTTCTTTAGGGAATCCAGCTGCACTGTGCCCCCTCCATCCTCACCTTGCCCCAGTAACGGCAGATGTTAGTGCATTAGAAATGCTGCAAAAAATGGAGAGTGAGAAAAATACCAAAGAGCACAAAGAATTTCAAACTAGATGAATATTAAAAGTTTTGGTTTAAATGAGGCTTTCATTTTCATCTAAAAGATATCAGTTTACCTAGCTCTTCATTGATTAGCATTTCAAAGCACAGGTGCCTGAAGTTAACCTTTTCAGGCTGCGCATGGGTACTGAACAGGGGATTTAAATTTTCAGAGGTGCTAAATGCCTGCTCCTTCTCACTGATATGATTGAGACCTTTCTGGCTTTCCCAGTATTTCTGTTATTTTTTAAAATCAGGTAACCTCTTTAGCTGCCCATGGATAGAGAGTATCTGCAAGTCTTTGGGGAAGATTATCAAAGGCATAGAGGCCAGCAAGATCCAGCTCCTGGATCCTTCCATGACCAAATGAGAATTCCAGTTCCATAGAGTGAACTTTGGGAGTTTATGTTTGAACTAAGAGCCAAAAAGTAGGAATTTAATTTTGTTGCTTTTTCCAAAAATAAAAAACACAAATATCTTTGTCAGAATTTATTTTTCAATGGAAAGACTTCATATTTGAGAAGACATTTTATGAGAACATCTTTTTAGCAAAAAGAAAAAATGACTGGCTCTAGTAATATGATCATCCTTATTCTTGAGAAAATTCTTTACATAGATCTCTCTCTAGTGATCAGATTCTTTTGGCTAGAAGGGTCTGTTAGAGCCATGCCTACACCCAAGTTGTCAGTGTTCAGCTTCACACAACTGAAAGCATAAAGGCCAGAGCAGGCCCAACTGTCCTTTGGTTCTTTCTTATCAAACATGGAAGTAGGATGGAACCCTTTTAGGATCTACATACCTCTCTGTGTTAATGATTAGTTAATATAGTGGTTAGTTAATTCCTAAATGGCCCATTGCAAAAGATGCACCAAAAGAAAATTTTACTGATTTTTTTCATAGATAATATGTTTAGATCCTGCCACTTCCCAGTGCTTGCTTGCTTGCTCACTCACTAACTTTCCCAGTACAAAGATTTACACTGTTATGAAAAAGCAAGATCTCCCAGGATTTAAGATATACCTCTCTTATGCTCTGTACCAGTCAACAATGGGAACTCCTTTAGAACTCTGTCATTCTTTTTCCAAGAGGACTCAAAAGGTAAGTTTGACCACTTAAATTTATTTCTTCTAGGGCATACCCTGAAAGCCTCCTCAAACACTTAGAAGGATAGAACTAAGGCACAGCCCAGCCCTCCCTTCAGTCCCTTTCATCTACTGTCCCACTGAGTCATGATTTCATCCCTAGCACTAAGGCTGAAATATCAAGAGTCGTTAGTCAATAACTTAGTTTCATTTCTTGATTTTTTTCTTTTCATGAATGGTTAGAAAGGAGATGAGATAAGACACAAGTCTTCCCCTAGGATCACCAGACAGAGACACAAAAGAGTAGGTGTACATAATTAGATTCATAATTAGACTTAGCTCAGGCTCTATAGCCAAAGTTTGAGCTGAGTCCAATGATCTGGGAAAGGTCTGACTGGCACCTCTGTACTGAGTACAAGAAGAGGACGTGGTACTGTCTAAATCAGCTGACCCTTTTACTCCAACTGACTATTCAGTACTGACTTTCTTGATATCTAGCATATGCAATGCCCATGTCCTGTTTGGGACCAAATAACCTGTCTGTGTGTTTCAGTTCCTTGACTTGTACCATATCAGCAGCACTAGCTTTTTTGCTACTATTTCATCTACACACACACAAGGGATACAGGAGTCCAGAAAAGGTGGTTCCACCACTTGAGGGAGGCATTCTTTTTCATTCCCTCCATCAGCACAAAGTACATAGCTCTTCTCCCTTCATATCAGTTGGAATCAGAGAGGGACTCAATAGATCATTTTTTGAACAGGAGAAGAGCACCAATTTAGTCTTCTACCTATAATGCAGAAGTTAATTTCTGTGCCTTGTGCAACAGATTACTTTAAACATATTCCAAAATCTGATGAAATACATGGCTGAGTTGTACAACATTCCACTGGAAATAATTCACAAGAAACCCCCAAATTCCTAGACCTTTCCAGGCATGGTAAACTAACTGCGCCTATTAAACAAGGATTTTGTTAGAGCCTGTCTCATGGCAACCTCCAGCATCACTTGATCTAGCTGGTATCAGGATCACTTTAAGTAGCAGCTATTCAAGAATGTAAAAAGGACTGAGGAAGAAAAAACAACTAAGAGACTGAATCTATTCTGCAGAAACTCCTGCTTTTCCATCAGTCAGGGATTCATGTTACCAGCAAAGTCTTGACTATCTGCACTGCAATACATTTAAAGTTTATGGAAGAATCCCACAAAAGCAAAGAGAAGAATTTAAATTCATCATGTCAGGGGGCATCTGACAGTTCTAATCTGTAGGCTGATTAAAGCCCTCAGTACTGGCTCACAGATCTTAACTCTCAAGATGCCTATTTCCCTGCCTGCATACATACATCTAGCTCTTTTTTTTTCAGACTCCTAGTAGTAGGCAATCGTTGAGTTTTCTGGATCACGTTGTACACATGAGAGATTGCTAGGACCTCTGATGCATATGCCTAGGCAGGACTATGGAGGAGTGGAGGTTGCCCAGACCTTCCATCCCCACCTTTAGGCCACTGAGACAGAATCCAAAGGCCAGACCGAGTCCAGACATTCAGTGCTTCAATGGCTATAGTTATAAGCATGTCTGGGAACTGAACCTTGGTCTCCCACAGGGCAGACAAGGATTCTACCACTGAACTCCAACAGCAGATGATTCCTAGTAGTTAACAGAGAAAAATCTAGACCTTAAAAAGGGAAGATAAGGGAGATTCAGGTCCTCATGGCAGTTCCTCCCTATATAGTGCCTTATAAGGACAGGGTTATTCTCAGGTTTGTTTCAAGTTCCCATCCAAAATTGTTTTAGAGTCCCTGATGGACCCCCATATTCATCTCCCAGTTTTCTTCCCCAAACCTCATTTAGCCCTGGGAAAAGCAAAATTGTGTACACTTAAGTAGTGAGAGCCTTATCACATGACCGTAACAAGATAAAAATCATGCAGGAGCACATGGTCTCACGTTTTATGACAGGAGTTAAGGTTAGATATTATCCCGACAGAGATGATCACAATAAGTCTGTAGCTGTATAACAATACCATATGTTAACAAGTCAGCCCTGCATAGATGCACTCCGCCATCATATAAGTCAGGCAACCATGGCCATCTGTTAGAAAAATGTCCCTATTTCCAAATTTGTATGGCAGTTATATGGAACTTAGTCATCCCTCACCACCCCAAAAAGAAATTGCTCTTTAATGAAGGCTTCCAGATCAGTTTTCTGTTTTGATAGCATTTTTCTACTATTCTAGTCTTTCTTAAGTAGGACATATGGACAGAATATCTCAAAGGACTGTTAAGTTGAGTAACTGTTCTTTACTTCTGCTGATAAATCTGTTCATATTTACAGATGAACCTCTTCAGCCTTCTTCATCAAACAATGAGAGCATGCCTAGTTACTGCAAAAATGATGAAGGAGATATTTTCCTGACTGCTGAATCCTGGAAACCCAATGTCTGCACTAGTTGTATTTGCATGGATGGAGTGATTAGCTGCTACTCTGAATCTTGCCCACCAGTGTCATGTGAAAGACCTGTTCTAAGAAAAGGACAGTGCTGTCCTTACTGTATCGGTAAGCAAATACAAAATACTTAATAGCTTGCTTCTTGGGAACAAGAAAAAAGATTTTATATTTTCAGTCAGGTTAAGAACTTTTGTATTGGTGCAATCTGGGCTTGCAATTGAACTATGGGCAAGAATTCAAATACAGAACCCCAGCTATCTGATTTACAGCTATTATAAGCTATATCAGAATGCAGAAACACAGACACAGATTACATCCAAAACTGAGAGACCATCTTTTTTTAAATTTACAACTATGTAGACAAGAACAAATTAATGGTGTGAACTTACAGTGTGTTAATTACTCTATGATAACTAACCACAGAATAACTGTCAGGCTCCTATCCCACAATAAAGACGATTAAAACGTACTGGTTTCTATAGCCAACAGTACTCAAAGGAGTGACTAATATGATATGCAGCTGCCTTTCACTCCCTGTCCTGAATGACCAGGTACCCATTTACAAATGAGTCAACAAGACGTGGCAGTCTTAAACACAAGTCTGAATGGAGGCTTAAACTCTTGCCACTGATTCCATAGGAAGATCCTTCATTCATGTGCCACCATGCCCCTTACTTAAGCCAGTTGGTGAAAGCTTTACATAGAAATTAATTTTCTTTAACTTCGTTTGTGATCGTATGTAATACAATGTAATAGGGATATGTTGTTAGTATATAAGCTTTAGAAAGAAAAATAATGAAATTTAGTATAGAAAAATGCAAGTTCAGTATAATTGGGAGAAACAATACAAAATATTCACAGTAAAATAATACTAAGCATATTACAAAACCTTACTGTGGTAATGGACACAAGCTGGATTTGCATTTGAAGTATAGCAGTATAAGGTAGTTATGATTAGAATGGCATTTGGCCAAGAATAGCCACAGCACTATTATTTAAAATATCCCTCCATTTTTTTACGATAGTTTAAATAAATATCTTTAGTAACAGAAGGAAAAGGTTGGCTTTTTAATAACTTTGCTTGAGCAGTGCACCCCATCAAACCAGAAAGGTCTGAACCTGAATGTTCAGCACAACTATGCAGAACTCTGCTATATGAGCTGCAGGACTTGCAACATTAACTGGTAACAAAAGAAAGCTGTTGTCAAGGGGAGGGGTGGGCTGGTAGTACCTGTTACTGGGTCTGAAGGGTGGAATGGAAAGCTCTCTTACGCTCTCTTGCTCTCTCTCACTCTTCCTCTCCCATCCTCTCCCTCCCTTCCTCTCCCATCCTCTCCCTCCCTACCCCCAAATCTGGTCCAGTAGCTCCCAGGCATTCCCAGAGCAGTGCTGGCATCTGTTGCTGCTTGCTTTAGCAGTAACATGAGCCCACCATTTTCAAAAATTTAAATTTTAGCATATTCCAATTTCAAGGACAAAGAAAAGTCACATAGAATGCATTAGCATTCTCCCAGCTAAATATCAAAGTCCTGCCACAAACAATGGAGATGTTAATTTCTGAACTGAAGGTCAAAAGAATCTATTGTAATGAAAAAGGATAGGTTTCCTAAATGTTTAGCGTGTTACAACCTCCTTTGCATGTTGTTATTGACAAAGTAATATATAGTTAAAATTAGTTAATGTTGAAATATTCAACTAGATTCTGACATGCAAACATATTTAAACTTCCCTGTCATGAAGGAAAAGGATGAAAAAATAAATCAAACTCAAACTACACATAGTAGGAAACCTGGAAATGCACAGACTTGCACAGTGATTCTCAACCAGTGTGCCACACACTTAGTACTCTTAAGTGTGCAAACATTATTTACAAGGTAAACCCAGAGATTTCAAATAGGAATTCTTGGTGTTAAAACATTCTGATCTGCTATGGACTACCTGAGTTCTTTGTATCAGAAGAAATTCTGTCTTATTTTTCTGTAGTCAGAAAACTAAGGAAAATTAAAACTGGCATTTTCCAAGCAGTGCTTCAAATCTAACAAGTCTAAAAAAACCCCACTGGATTTCCATTACTGCTTTTCCCAACTACAGGCAGCCCTCGCCATTCACGAGGGATGTGTTCTTATATCCCCTGCAAATGGCAAAATCCGCAAATAAGGCACTGCATTCACGAACACCGTCTGTGTTCATGAACTCAGTGCCCCTGGCGGGCGGGGCGGGGCGGGG